TCCCATGACCTATTCAAGTTAGTGGGTCTCCTTGTGATAACACCTGTTGATTATCATTAATGAAAATCCAAAGCTTTCTTGTTGATAGCGAAACGTTAGTAGTTTGATTTTTGAGGTATTGAATGAGATTAGCCAGTTTCCCTCCACTGATTAGTAAGAATTTGTCCAGAGGTCAGATCAGGTACCACTATGATAATCCTAATTTTTAGAGGTGCAACTATATACCGTTATATCATTGGTATAGTCGTTCGCAAGAGATCGGATTATGCTTTTAGGTCGATAATTGACATAAAGCAGGAGGAGGAGTGGACAGAGAAGCGAATCTTGGTGGATATCTGTATTCATCTCATGGGCCTCGGGTGACTGGCTATTAACAGCTATCTTCAGGGATTCTCTTCTTTGAAAGATTTGATATCTGAGAAGACACTTCAAATGATTCTATAGATGGCGAGTATTTCTCGTACCCCACCCAAATATCTGACTCCTTGTCAAAAGCCTTCGATATAATAGGACATGTAATGAGGTAATGGGGTCTCAAAAAAGACTAATGTCGTTTCATCTACAGGGAAGGTGATGGACTCAGTTTTTGGAATGCCAAAGACATTTTGTGTATTAAACATATTCAGAAAGACTACCGCATCAGTGGAGTAGTATGACAACTTGCCGAGGCAGTTACGAAAGGTTATCAAGATTAAAGGTTCAGGAAAACTGACGAATGTGGTCTTGTTTCAACAGGACAATACTCCCGCACTCGAGTCCTTGGTTTCAATGGCGACTGTGCGTGACTATGGCTTTGGACTGCTTAATCACTCTCTCTATTTTCCTGATTTGACTACCAGATTTTAAACGAAATGCTAAAATACACTTGGCTGGGAACCAGTATTCTTCTGCTGTTGATGACCTTTTTACTCAACAGGATGAAAGTTTTTTTCCCAATGAGATCTAAGCATTAACATGGATAGAAAGAGTGTTGGCTGCAAAGGTACTTTGTTGAAAATATGCCTCATTTGATCACGTTCCATGAGAGTATCTTGGTCAGCCTATGAACTTTTCAGTCGACCCTCACATATAGATATGAGTATGTGTGTATGTGTGTGTGTGTATATATATATATATATATATATATATATATAGCCTTGGATGGCAACTGGTCTAGGAGAAGGACAAATCTGAATTCAAAACCTGCGGAGGGTCGTTTGGGAACATTGTGGCATGCATTCGGTGCACCAGGTTTCTGTATTCGTCCCTCCAAAAAGTGTGGCTGGTCCTGCACAAGGCCTTCACCACTATAAACAAATCTCATGTGCCGGTGTCGGGATGTCGGTTTCCTGGGGACTTATCGGCCTGACCCTCATACGTCGAACGCGACGGGAGAGTCGATTATATATATATATATATATATATATATATATATATATATATATATATATGTATGTGTGTGTGTGTGTGTGTGTGTGTGTGTGTGTGTCTAATCATATTCGAGGATACCTGTCTACTCGGACGGCTAGTCAATCCCTATTGCAGATGCTTGCTCAGGGGAATTTTGTGTGGTTTCTACTGCAACTTTGCTGTGCAGACCTTAGTTTATCTAGCGTGATCAAAAAAAATTGAACAAGGCTCAAGCCCCGAATAACGAGGTATTGTGACTTGGTGCTGGCACACGTATCGATGCCAACCCCCCCCAGGAGTACCGTCTATCAAATTTCATTCACAAAGCCTGGGTCAACCAGTCTCAAGGTACTTTCCTACGACCAACTCCAGTCTGATAACATGATAAATCGACCATAGTCAGATTCGAAACTCAGTCCCATTGTCAGAATTCGAACGTTCTAATCACCCGGACACGTGCCCATTATATATATATATATATATATATATATATATATATATATATATATATATATATATATATATATATATATATATATATATATATATATATATATATATATATATATATGTGACGTCACATTTTGAAATAGACAAAGTCTGACATTTATTTGATACACCATGAGCAGATATGAATGTACGTGAGAGATTCATAGAAGATTAAGAAGTTTAAATACAGTAAATTCGACCTTGCTAACCGAACGCTCCTCTGTGGCCAAATCGGTTAAAGGCACGTCAAGCTAAATGACGGTTCCGTATAGGATACGGGTTCGAATCCTGTCGGAGGACCAATAATTTCTGTGAAAATTTCTCGGACGTTCAGGACGGTAAATGTTGTTTAATACTGTGTATTATAAATAGAGCATTTACTTAAATATTTTATGTATAAAACAATGTATAAACATAAATATATATATATAAGGTATCTTAGATTGTTACGTAAATTTTCTTAGTATCAGAAAGAGAAATAGTATGAATATAAGATTAAATTTATTGTAATTGTCCTGATGATTGAATTCAAGCAACAACAAGGTGTTGATTGATTCGTCTTCTATGGCTTATCAACAATTCGAAGGTCATTTAAGTCAGGAAATATTGTAATAATTTTTTAGATAATAATGATTTTATGAGAGAATTCTTACTATTTAATCCATCATTAGTGATTTGATATGTTTTGCAAGGATACATGCATGTAAGTGTATATAGAGAACCGAACTGCAATTGGATCTCGGCTCTTCGATTACAATTCCTAACCGTAATATATAACACCATCCGCATATCCAAGCTTAAAACAGTTGGTATTCCCAAGCGGTTACACCTCAAAGGACAGGCCAGGCTCGAATTTTCTTAATTTCGGCGATCTTTTGGGAACAACCAATATTTCAACATGATGGGGCCGTAAACCCTGTGTTTCACTTTAGTGTTCACTGACAAGGTCTTATATTGTTTTTATTTATTTATTTATTTATTTTGGTGAATTTTTCTAATTTTCGAATAAAGTGATGTTTTAGATTAAAATTATGGATAATTTTCCGAATTTCATGTTGTGCTGATATCTTTTTTTTTTTTTTGTTATCCATCTTTCCTTCAATATATATATATATATATATATATATATATATATATATATATATATATATATGACACCTGTCTACGGTTGTACTAGCACGATGTAATAAGTCAATGTGACTGAGGATTTGAGCTTGCTGGTCTTGCCCGGACTGTACACCACGCTAGATAACGCGCTTTCTTCCAGAATCTGCAACGAAGATACGCTCAGCATAGTTGTAATATAAAACACAGGAGGTGCTCTCTGGCTGTTGGACAAATACAAATATGCCTGAACAGGCGTTTGTAACAAGTAGATAAATTATATAAAAACTGTTCAATTGTTCTTTTTACAAGCGTTTTTGGCTATACATTTAACCATTTTCAAGGTTTAGGCTTCCATTATTTTTAGCCTTTTTTGCATATAGACGATGCTATTATATCTGTGTTATCCGCAAGTATGTTACGAATAGGGTCAAGTAGGTCTCCATGAGTATTTAAATGAAACCTGATTGAGCTATGATCTGAAAGATGTAGTGTAAGTCTTCTTGTCAAGCATGTTGTAGTGTTCCCTATATAATTGTTTACGAATTTTGATTGATCAGGAATACAAGTCCTTAATGGACATTTAAATTCGTAAATAATATATTTTGTATGTAATTTTGTTCTAAGAGGTGAATTATTATTTTTAACTATAAGTTTAGCAGATTTAAAGTTTTCGTAATAATAATAATGATAATGATATATATATATATATATATATATATATATATATATATATATATATATATATATAACCTGCTTTAGTGGACCGAACAATTAAGAAAAAGTTTTTTTTTTCATGGAATTCCGGAGTTGAGGTGCTGAATATAAAATCTATCTGCTTAGTGACAAATTCTATTTGTTTTAATCCTATATATATATATATATATATATATATATATATATATATATATATATATATATATATATATATCTCCAGAGTTTCGTAGTCAAACTTTTTCTTTGTTGTTCGGTCCACTCGTCAGGATATTTCAACGACTGACTCCGCATATTCTAATTTTTCGTTATTTTTACGCTAAGTTTGACGTAATTAATTTATTCGCGATGCCATTATGAACTTACTCACAAACCAATTATATTTACGTATATAATGATTTGACATTGTATCATACTTAGCCAGCTGCTTTCGTATAATATGATTTTGGATAAAGAATTTGATTCTCACTCGGTAGCCTGTATTTGTGAATTTAGACCAATGACCCAATCATCCAACTGTAAATAAATGCGAGCATTGTCTTCTTTTATATTTGGACGCACAAATCTCAACGGTCGTTCATGCCAAGGTTGATTGCCCAGTATTTGTGTCTGTGTACAATTGTTCGCTACCGAGTCACGTCTTTCGCTATGTGATTCTTTTTTTGAAATCTGTAAAAACAACAAATATCAAATAACTAGAAAAAAAAAAAGCCAATGTGAAAGAAAGTATCATATGTCACTGGGGTTTCTGAATCAAACATTTATTTTGCAAGGTAGAACAAGTGTGGACATTTCCGTTTGGATGAACCTGTGTCCGTCAAATGAGTCAGCGGCCAGCAATGGGTAATGTTTCTTAATTCTCCGATATATTTTAAGGTCTTTTACAAAATATCGAATCAAAGAAAAGAATGTAGGTTTAAAAAAAAAAAAGAAGTGTAAAAACAAAAGAAAAATACATTAAAAAAAGAGAAAAGACATTACTATGATGAAAAGCGAAGAAGGAAAGTTTAATTGATATTTAAATGTTATAAACATCTTATAGATTATTTAAAGCATTATAAAAATAATTGTAAATGTATAGGTTGTTTTTGCATTGTAATAGTAATTCCCTTTTTTTGCGAGTAAATATTTTATTACCATTTTTTAGATAATTAAGCTGCATTTCATATTAAAAAAAACTACTTTTTATTCCATAGCTCGAGAAAAGCTTATTTACGTGTAAGTTAATGTAATGAAGTCAACTGTTTTTCGAATTATGCTCTCCAATTTTTCATTCAGAGACTATCCAATATACCACACACAAGCTTACAGAACCTGGTATTCCCAAGAGATCACCCATCTTGGTATAGAACAGGCTCCACGTTGCTTAACTTTGGTGATCAGACAAGAACTGGTTTTAAACGTTATATGGCGTATAGAAAAAAAAAGTGTGGTGATTTTGGTAAAAGAACGAGTAATAGAAATATTATTGGAGGAATTAAAGTTGAAGAAATTAAATGATGTAAAGATGAAGGAATAAAAAGAGTCTCAGATAGAAAGGAAATTGTGAGATGAGTATTCCAGGAGTACTCTCCTGAATTTCTGAAGTTCATGATTGAATGAGTTCCTTGTGCCTTCCACGAGTGCAAAATATCCCTGAAAATTTGTCCATTGCATCCTTAAATAGTTGCGCTTAACAACTCTTAACAAAACATTGCCATAACAATCATAAGTGTAAATGCATGTCATTAATTAAAAAGACAAGATTTCAAAATTGACAAGATTTACCATTTCACTGAAGCAGTTTTTTTTAAGCGTTCAAGCCCAAGCAAGTGTCACATGCACGCAAGGGGTTGCAGAAAGTGGGAGCAAGAGTAAAGTGGCGTGAAAGAGGAAAGAATGAAAAACAAAAAAAAAAAACAAAAAAAAACAAAAAAAACGGGGAATACATCAAGCCATCTGGAGGTGTCGATTGACATTGCATTTGAATAGTTGGAGATTATAGCTATCAGGGAAGCATATAAGAGGAAGGGAGTTCCATAGACGGGAAGGGATAGATATGAAGCTAATGGCGAAAAAGAGACGGCTATATTTAACTATTTCGACAGTGAGATGGTGGGACTGAGATTCCAACATAGTAACGCGTTTAAATTCGTGCAGTTTGGGAACTAGCGAAAGTAGCTCGTCGGAGCAGTTACCGTGAAAGTATTGGTAGAAAAGACAGAGGCAGGCGACGCTACGTCTGTGAGAGAGCGACTGTAAACGAGATGCCAGATCATGACCAAAAACATTGCACATGTGTCTCTGGATTTTGTCGAGGACCTTAAGACGAACAGCGGGGGTTTTCAGGCCATATATGACAGCAGTATTCCATGCAAGGGTGAATGGTTGATGTTAAAAACGTGAGAGCCTTGTATCTTCTTTCTTTCTCTCACTGAAACAATCATCTTTGACGTGTCCTTTTAATTTTTCCTCGCAAACAAAACGAAATACTCAATTATTTATGATGTAATAGCAGAGTAATGTTCATAACTGTTACTTAACAAAGGAACGAGGAACAAAAAGAAATGTGATAATTTTGGTAAATTTAGAAAGAAAAAAGACATTGATTTATTGGCGGGAAATATAAAAAAAACGAAAAATCAATATACAACGAACGAAAATAGCTGAAGGGAAAGAGAAAACCAGTAAAAAAACAACAAAAAAGACGGTGTTTATATTGACCAAATATGGAGTACCCAGTGAGGTTCTAACTCACTGCGAATCCGGCTTCGTTAATATTATACAAAGAGTAGGTAGCCGTAAACAGCGTGTCCAGAAATAAAGGAAAATAATTTCAGAATTGAAAATACAGGTAAAGAAAAAGAAAAAGGAGATGAAGAAAAAGATGGGGTAAGAAATGAAATACAAAAGTTTATGAGAACAGAAGAGATATAGAAAGAAACAAAAGAGAAAGAAAAGGAGAGGACGAGAAAGAAAAATATGTAAAGATAACTTAAAATACAAAGAGAAAGAGAAATAAATAAATAAATGTAAAATAAAACAACAGAAAATAAATCAAGAAAGAAAGAAAGAGAAAACTAAGAAAAGGAAAAAAGAAAGGAAATGATAGAGGTAAATTAAAGAAAACGACAGGAGAAAGAAAGAAAGAAAGAATGAAAGAAAGAAACGAAACGAAACGAAACGAAACGAAAACAACCAACCAAATCGAACAAAAGAAAGAAAAGTAAGAAAAGGAGAAAAGCAAAAGAAATAAGACGACAGACAGTAAATTAATGAAAAATCAGCCGGAAGTAAAAAGAAAGAAAAAAGAAGAAAAAAAAAAAGAAATCATGGACGATAGAAAGATAAAGTGAAAGAAACGAAAGCAAACAAATAAAGAAAACAAGAGAAAGAAAAGCAAGTCAAGAGAAAGAAAAGTAGACTAATGCATAAATAGAGAATGAAATAAAACGACAGAATAAGAAGTAAAAAGATAATGAAGGAATGGTTATAAAGAGAAAGAAAAAGAGAAAGAAAAACTATGAGAAAAGACTCAAGAAAGGAAGGCAGAAATGAAGTGAATTATGAATTAGAAAAGGAATTAGAGAGAAAAAAAGAAAGAGAAACATAAGAAAAGATGAAAGAAAAAGAAAGTAGACGCGGCAAAGAAAGATAATATTAAAAAAAAGAGTAAGAACGCAAAATCCAGAAGCAAGAGAGAGAGAGAGAGAGAGAGAGAGAGAGAGAGAGAGAGAAGGAAAAAAACGAAAAGAGAAAAATTATAAAAGAGAATTGAAAGCGAAAAGAAAAAAATTCAAAGAAAACGCTTACAAGAAAGAGATAAATAGAGTGAATGAAAAAAAGAATAAAATGAAAGAAAATAGAAAGTAGTTAAGGAAAACGCATATAAGAAAGAGATAAATAGACTGAATGAAAATAACAATAAAATGCCAGAAAACAGAAAAAAAGTCAACGATAATGTATATAAAACAAAGATAAATAGAATGAATGAAAATAAGAAGAAAATGAAAGAAAAAAGAAAAGAGAAATAAAAGAAAGCTGTAAATGATCTGAATAAAAATAAAAAAATTAAATGAGGAAAGAAATACAAGAAAGAATAAATGAAATAAAAGAAAAATCGACGAAATAAAAAAGAAAGGTAGAAAGAAAATGGAAAAAGAATGATGAAATAACATCATAAAAATATTACAAAAAGTAAAGACAACCAGAGAAATAAAACAGATAAAAAGGATAAAAAGGATAAAAGAATAAAGTAAATGATATTAAGGAAGGCGGGAAATGTTTGTTGGGAATTCCAGAAATCCATTTCATTGTGACGATAAAATTCTGATTAACTTATAACAGACATATTGTGTTTCACAAATGGATGCATCCTCGAATTTTCTTTATTTCATTTTTTTTTCTTCGAGGCTTATAATCTTTGCACTAAGCAAATTTAACGCCAAAACCAAACCAAATTCTACAGTTACGCACAACGCGGACAGCCGTTGTGTGATTCTTTGACGAGAATCAAAGACCTAGTGAGCGAAGTGAAAGATGAAGAGTAGAACCTGAACGGTCATTCGGTTGGTCGGACCTTGGCCGGAGGCGGAAAAAGCGACCATGCGACCTTCAACCCAAACCCTTGCTAACATGAGCGCTTCACCCATTACACAAGTAGCGAACTGGGAACAAGAGAACGCACATCGCTTGACCTCCTCGCTGTTGGCCAGTCAATAGGTCAGTTTGAATAGATGAAGCATTTGCCATTGAAGAGTGGAGAAATGACTGGCAGGCAACAACAGTGGATAGTTGGGCCGAAGCCGGGCGTGTTTGACTGAAGGTAACTGTTGTTAGGTCCTTTTGGAAAGATTCTCTGTATGCTTTGGGCATCTTGGTAGTTAGCAACCCATGGTAGCGGAAAATAATGTGCGGAAGTGAGACTGGGGGTGCTGTTACTAAGGATAGATGATGGCAAGCGAAAGACGAGAATTGTGAAGCATGATTAGCTTTAATGAGTGGGGTTTGAGAGAATAACCGGGGGATAGAGAGGCGATAGACTGGTCATCTTGATACAAGAAGATTTATCGCTATTTATAAAGAAACGTTCTTAGTCTGACATAAGGCTGCGAATCTGGAAGCACTGGTGTAAATTTTGGGTAATGTTTATCGTCTGAAGTTCAAAATACTGAAATTTACAGTGTCTGTGACAACAATCTTTTCACAACGTGTTCTGATATATACAGTCATTGTTCTATAAATGTGGACTGAATATATTGCATTTAAGCATGAAAGAGACACTAGCCACACGTTGTTGACATCGTTGTCCACTTAACATATATTAAAAATTGATTTATTTCAAATAAATATTAATTAATAAATTTATAATATTAATGCTCTGTAAATTTACAGTGAGCATTTTTTTGTAAAAATAAAAATATCTATAAGAACACCGGATTATATATCTTACTGTTCTTTTCTTATTATATATATATATATATATATATATATATATATATATATATATATATATATATATATATGTACGTATGTATATATATAACATAATATAATATAATGTAATTTATATATATATGTAATCTATGGTTTAATATAATTTATATATATATATATATATATATATATATATATATATATATATATATATAAACAATATATTATAACGTAATTTATATTTATATATATATATATATATATATATATATATATATATATATATATATATATATATATATATATATATATATATATATAATATTTATATATATATATGTAATTTATGGTTTAATATAATTTATATATATATATATATATATATGCATATATATATATACATATACATATATATAATATATTATAACGTAATTTATATTTATATATTATATATATATATATATATATATATATATATATATATATATATATATATATATATATATATTTATAGTTTCATTAAATAATATAGACAAGTTTGTCTATTTATTTTATGTAAAATTTTTTCGTATTTTTCTGATAAGTTTGGTAACATTATCATTAACCGAAAAAGAAATTCACAATATTTATCCATTATTTTTTAATAAAATCTAAGCTTTCGGCTTACTCAAGCCATTATCAAAGATGTAAATACAAACATATCAACCAATATACGGACACGACAGTGATGATATAGTCTGTCATTGTTTTGTTTACATAGTGAATCACTAAGCAACGATGAACACGCGCATATAAGACGCTAGAAGCGAAAATCGCACCGCATCTCATGACGCTTGACACTACATCTTAATGAAAACTCTAACATTTTTAGGCATTTAAAACAAATGTCTGCCCGCACACACAATTCCGTAAAATACTTGTCGAAAACACAACTATACTTCGACATGAAAACAATAGACAAAAACTAAAAATACTTGAAGCAT